GTGGAGGATCCCCTCCTCATTCTAACAGTTTATGTATCATTCTCTTTTTTTTTTTTTCAGCTTATACACTAGCTTGGGTTATTTGCATTTTCAAAAAAGTTTTGTTTTGCCATTTTAATTTTTTGTGCCATTTCTTCTTTTTCCATTTAATTTAATTTGTGTTTTGTTAATTCCATTTTTTTTCTTTTATGATGCTCTTTTGCGGGGTTTTCTGTTGTTCTATCTCCAGCTTTTTAAGATCTTCTTGTAGTATTTTTTGTTGTTTCTTTTTCTTTTTCTTTTTTTTGCTATATATATATATATATATACAGTATATTATGGCTAATCCTTGCATATATGTCTTGGCCATGTCCCACACATTTTCTCTTTAGCCTTCTATAAGGCCCTGAAAACCTGGCTTTGCCAGCTGGCCTGAGGCCCCAACTGGAGTTCCCCTTTCTGGAGGTGGCTGTTGGATTGGGAAAGACCTCCCTCTTTCCTTGTGTACTTAGTGTTCCCCTCCTCTCCATCTGTTAACAATATTATTATTCACCACAACTAGCCTTGTGGTGCGACTGAAACAATCTTGAATTAAGCACACTAAGTCTACCACTACCTGGTAGATTTTAAGAGAAACCTTCCTATACTAACACCTCTTACAATACTAGACAACACAGTATCAACAATAGAGATCTTCAAGTTTCTAGGTTCTATCTTATCTCAAGACTTAAAATGGACACCTAACATCAAAAACATCTTTTTTTTAAAAGCACAACAAATAATGTTCCTTCTGCACCAACTCATAAAGCTCAAACTGCCCAAGGAGCTGCCAATACAGTTTTACAGAGGAATTATTGAGTCTGTCATCTGCACCTCTATAACTGTCTGGTTTGGTTCTGCAACCCAACAGGACAGACACAGACTTCAGAGAATAATTAGGGCTGCAGAAAAAACAGTTACTACCAACCTGCCTTCCACTGAGTACCTGTATACTGCACTAGTCAAAAAGAGGGCTATGAAAATATTTAGAGACCCCTCGCATCCCGGACATAAATTGTTTTAACTTCAACCCTCAAAATGATGCTATAGGGCACTGCACACCAGAACAATTAGACACAAGGACACCTTTTCCCCCCCATGACATCCCTCTGCTAAACAACTAATTCCCACAACACTGTCAAACTATTTAGTAAAGCTGTATTCTTCTTCTTCTTCTCATCTTTCTTATTACCTATCTCCTTTTCTACTTATAAGTATGGTTTTGTTACTTGTGTCTTCACAATTTATATTGTTTTATTTAGTATGATTTATCTTACTTATTTAGTATCCTATGATTATCACTAAATGTTGTATCTTATGATTTATGATAAATGTATTTTTATGATGACCATGATAATTTATCGCTTATAGCTTTTATGTACACTGAGAACTTATGCACTGGAGACAAATTCCTTGTGTGTCCAATCACACTTGGCCAATAAAGAATTCGACTCTAATATTACTGCTGTTATTTTTTCCCTTTTCTTATTTTAATATGTACTAGTTTTAATGTTTATAAGCTTTCCAAAATCATCTCTGGACAAGATGGGCAGCTCATAAATAATAATAAAATAAATAATAAAATAAATAAAATAATATATAATGAAATAAATAAAATAATAAAATAGAAAGAGACTTCGGAAAGCCAGCTCCTCTAATATCTATTCTTAACCACCCCACCATGAACATTTTTTTAAAAAAGTTTAATGAGTTGATAATGGCTGTAGAAAATATGCGGAGGTATGTATTTTTGGATGAAAATAGATAATAAGACTCTGCATTGAAAGTTGCGGACCAAGAGATATCTCCACATCCAGACAACTGAATTGAGCCAATGTGCCTCTTTGAAGTTTAAGCCTACATCTCCTTATGATATTATGGGTTTGACTGAATGGGAAAGTGAAAAATTCTTTTTTTCTATGAAGACTGTGGAAGATGGGGGAACAGATTTATAACACCTAACTGTAAATCACTTCTGTTTGGATTTTGTTGGGAAGATATACCCAGAGTGGAGACTGAACCATTATATTTAATTCAACAACAGAAGTTCAAATATGGCATTAAGAAAAAAGTGTGGATATTTGACTCGGGGAAAATTATTTTTAACTTTTGGGAGAGATAGATAGGATGCCATGGCAAACCTTTTACAATTCTATTACACCACTTTGTTAACAGAGAGATTTGAAACTTTAATTTTGTCTTTTTTCTTCCTATTAACTATTTTGTCATTAATATAGGCCTGGAAGGGACCTTGGAGATCCTCTAGTCCAATCCTCTGGCCAAGACAAGAAGCTTTATAGGATCCTGGACAAATGAATGTCCAGTCTTTTCTTGAAAGCCTCCAGAGATGGAGCACCCACAGCTTTTGGGGTCAAGCCATCCCACTGATTAATTGTTCTCACTGTCACAAAATTTCTCCTTAATTCCAATTTGGCTATCTCTTTAACTCAGATAATCTTAACATGGCTTGAAAGCTAAGGAGGGCTGATTTGAAAAATACCTAGGGGAACAGCCATCAGGAGAAGAGTAGGAGTGAGAGTGGGGGTTCTAAAAGCCAGTAAGAAGAAACCACCTTCTAGCATCCAACAACTCTATACCTATCTCTATACATAAGGTGGCATTTTGGATACATTTTGAAATCATTGGTGTGGCTTTATACTTATTTTGAATGGTTTTGAGAAAATTAAGCTTTGAAAAAGAGCAAATTTGGGAGCTATAGAGTAGCTGAATACTTTAGTTTAAAAAACCCTGCAAGCTGCGGAATTATAATGGCTCAGTCTATAAAAGTTACAATATCTGAGGAGGTACCATGTGCAACACTTTCCCAGTGAAATAAATGAGCATCCCAGGACAGAGAAGCATGAAATTAAACTCTAAGATATTTATAAGTGCACACCAGCTTAACTTGAGTCCCATTTGCTTACTATCTATGAATATTATGATAGTGTAGCAATATTATGACAGTGTAGCATCAGCCTGGAAGGCCCACTAGAGTTGGGATTCCTCTAGCCCCTTTTCTATACCTACCTGGGCTCTTTCCCACTACACAGTCACTCACCAGGTGTCTCAATGTCCATCGTTCTGGACATAAGTCCACTCTGATCTCTCGCCCAGTCATGTCCACTGGCCCAGCTCAGGTCACCTCTGCTTCCTCTGGGGTATCTGTTGCCCCTCTGGTCACCGGCTTGCCCCCTCGCCTTGTCAGCTCACCTTCACTTTCTCCACTCCTTCCTCCCTCAGTGGAAGCTCCAAGACTAATCTAACTAAAATTTCTAACTCTTCCATTTCTAATCTTGTCTGCGATAAAATGTCCCCTTCACCTTTCGGGATTCCACTCAAAATCCATTCAACTCTCCCCTCAAAAACCTTCCCACCCAAAACCTGACAGAATTATTCTATGTGGGTAACTTGGAGTGATCTAAATTTAATGAGTTAATCGGAGCTAATTGGAATATTAATGGTCTGAAAGTGAACTTTAAAGCCTATGTATGCGAAGAGGAAGTTTTAAAAAAAGATCTATTAGTATGTTTTGATTTTAGGAATGTTTTTAAAGAAAAGCTTAAGGTTTTAAAATGGTTGACAAAGAAGTATTTTTCCCTTTAAGGTTAAATAATCTGAAAGAATACAGGGAATCTTGTTAATATAAATGATGATAGTTGATAAAGATTATTAAGTGCAAATAGAAATACATATTATTTGCAAAGCAAGGAAGATGAAGCAGAAATGGTTAAATTGATTGATTCAAAGAGGAGAATATATTTAATTATGTTTTTGATTTGGATATCACTTCTGGATGTTGTGTTTGTGGTGGAAAAATACATATGAAACTTCGACTTTGGTTATGCTGATTAGATACATTAGTTGTTACAGAAATGGCTAGTTATATTCCAATATATACAATTAAAAAGGCCATAATGATGTTACATACTGTGCTAAAAGGAGTCAGAAGTCAATGCCTTTTTCTTTCTTTCCTTGTACCTCATATTTTTCTTTCCCCCTCTCTTTTTTCTTCCCTTAATTTCCTATTCCTATTTTTCTTTGTATTTTATACACTGATAAAATGTTTCTTCCTCCCTCAACTCTCTCTCCTCAAAAGTATTCTCACCAAAACCTGACAGAAGCCTCCCACCCCTTTCTCTGCCTATTCTTCCCTCAGTCGAAACTCCAGGTTTCCCCCCCCCCCACACACACACACACATTAGGCAAATGTTAAAACTCTGGTTTTCTGATGCTTTGTTGATAGCTTTTGTTCTATGCAGAATAAAGCTAGCGCCCTAACCTCCCAATCCTGGGGTCACTATGAGAGGGGATCCCATCTGAGATTACATCAGAATCCCTGACACAGAAGTGATCTTCCCATTTTCCTACAGATGTTTGTGGTGTTAGGACTACAACATCTGTCTTTAAGGCACCAATGGATTAAATGCCAAGTCCAAATGGAGTTCATACATTTTGCTGCTGGAATTAAATTCCTCCAATTCTTTCTTATAGCCTGAGTTTTCTTTATCTTCAAAAGGTCTTTTATATTTTTCCAGAACCTTGGCTAATTGGGATTTTCATCATGAAAGGAGGTTATTGCAAGAAGCTTGGAAGAAGAGGGTGGGAGGAGGAGGAGGAGGAGGAGGAGAACAGTTCTGGCCTGCTCCCATGAAAACTGTAGAGTTGTGTCCAAGAGTTGACCTCTTTTTAACACGATTTACTAGAGAATAAATGCATTGTTTCTACATGAAGGAAATGTAGCACTGTAGCACAACAGGCAGGGTGTTGAGGAGCAGAAACAAAGGGAACTAGAATGGTTGAAGGCCCTTTGGGAAACATGACCTTCCCTGCAACTAAGATGAACCTTGGAGAATCTGGTTCCAGGCTGGCCTGGTTCTTGTTAGTCCTGGAGGATGATAAGCCCACCAAAGGGGACAGATCACAAACATTTGCATCTTAATAAGAAAGACATGGTCATATTTATTTTTATAAGCAGTTTTATTTAAATATATTTTAAATAGAGCTATTGTTCCAAATACATATTTCACAGATAACATAATATTTTAAATCACAATTTAATTAGACATAAAAGTGTGCAAAGGAAAAAAAAACACTACCAGAGACTTCAAGGAAAAAATTCCTTGAGTTTTCCAGATTAGGGTGGGAAGATATGTAAGAGAAAGATTTAAGAGAAGCCCCCACTGCCAATAACTGCCAATAACAATAAAATAAACTCAAGTTAAGGCAAGTTTGAAAGAAACCCATAAGCATTCTGAAAAGAAGACAGAAGAACATCTTTATTTACAGTAGTCAAACAGTTGAGAAATTGCAAGGCAAATTTCAATGCAGTTGATCTGCATTTTAACTTGAGAGTTTTGACCAGACTAACAATTTGCAATTTGCTTCTAACAGTCCTATAGGCCTGGAGGAAAAACTATAAGGGAATAGCAGAGGCTAAGAAGAGAATTAGAATCCTACTTTTCACCTGCAAGTATTCTTTTTCTCCAACACACTGTTTTTCCCACGAAAAATCCTCAGTTCTGAAGATGACACGCATGTGAGATATATACTAATGAACACTAATATTCTAATCGGTATAGACTAGAAAATCCAATCTCATGGATAAGTCTGTAGTAGTCCTCAATTTACAATTATTCTTTCAGCAATTTGAAATTACAGTGATTCTGAATGGGGGGTTATGACGTATTTGGAATTCCCTTCCCAACCAGCACTTCTTGTACAGCCTTGCTTTATTATCACACCACTCAGCGATGGAAATTTTGGTCTCAGTTGCCATTGTAAATTGAGGGCTATCCTTTATTTAAGTTCAAATATCCCTTCCTCTTCTGATCTAGTGATCAATCTTGCTAAATTTAGATACAGGAAAGGGTAGGTTGTTGACAACTGTCACCCAGACAGTATATATGCTCTCTCACTCCTAACAGAAATGATTATTTCTATCTGATTCCAAAATTGAACTTGAGATTTCCTACATGTAATTTATGTATGCACACAAACCTAAAATTAAAAAGCAATATATTTAAATCTATTAAAACAGCCAAAATCCTAGATGTGTTCCAAAATCCACAAGATGTCAGTGTTCTACAATGAAATAATGAGAGCATGCAAAGTTTTGGCATTCATATATAAGAACATGTAAAAAGTTGAAATCTTTTAAGATTTTGCAACCTTGTATAATTCCAATTCATTTTTTAAAAATATAACATACTTAAAGAGACTGTCCATACTTCCTCTAGAATAAGATAATGCCATTCAAAGAGAAGGGATGGAACAGGTACAATCAGTACAGATAAGGCACATTTTATGGTGATTTCCACATGTCACACTGGGCTATTTCTGGTGCAGAGGACATGCAGTGGAGAACAATGTCCCATGCACTTCAGAAATGCCCACGTTTCTTCATTCATCAGGCAATGTTGGTTTTCATGCCAAGTGCATACCTCTCCATGCCTTGTTATATCTTGACCAATGATTATGCTGCTTAGAAAATTCTAAGTGTCAAATCTATCTCTCTGACCATTTGAAGGCACCAACTTAGAAAGCTATTTACAGTATGGAATTCTAATTGTAATTAATTGTAATTGTAATTGCTTGTAAGTTGTTGTGCTCAAACATTGGAAGCTTTTAAGAAGAGATTAGACAACTATTTGTCTGGAATGGTATATGGTTTCTTGCCTGAGCAGGGGTTTCGACTAGAAGACCTCCAAGGTCCCTTCCAACTATGTTATTCTGATTGGCAAATTGACCCAACTGCCTTCAAGCTGAAAATTCTAATGCTGTCCTGGTCATGTCTTTCATACTTGCAAGGTACACCCAACTTAGACTGAGAAATATGTGCACTCCATCTTTGATTCATTTAGAGGATGTTATTTTTCTCAGCTTTTGTTTCTTTGTAGTGTGTTAGAAATCCCGTACGTGTACTGACAAACGTAAGTCACCAGATGCAGCAATCAAGGTTGCTCTCCATGTCATTCCTCTCAAATTCTAATTCAGCTGACATTTCCTAAACATGTACAGGTTGCCTCAGTTTCTTTGATGCCTTTGCACCTCCTGTTGAGCAAAATGGACAGTAAAAAAGCACTGCAAAGCAGCAGCCTTGTGGTACCCAGAGAAGGTGCGTCATAATTCCTTCCCGTTCTGGGTATTTCCTGCAATAGGCAAAACAACCTATAAAGTCATGTGGATCTGGACTAGGGTATCAAGTTTGGTTTTTTTTTTTTGGCAGTGATTTTTTTTCATGTGCAAAATGAAGAAGGGAGGGGGAAGAAACATGAATGGAGTAAAAACTGAGCAAACAGTGCAACTTCCTCTTCGACACAAAAATACAATGGAAAATCACAGACAGGATCAGCCATTGAAAACCTTACAAACTCAGAAAGAATTATAGATGTTGAGGATTTCAGGAGCAGCCTTACCTAAAACACAACTAAAAAATACAAAAAAAAATTCAACAAAATTACATACATTTGGTTCTGTTCCTTGACCTCTCCCCCTGCCCCCAATCACATTAAATCTATTGGCTCCTATTGCACTTATCCCTATATCTCCCTTAGTTTCACATTTGGCTTTTTCAAACAGTAGCACATTAAAAAAAGAGAGAGAACATTGCATTGCTTTCTGCAATCCTGCCTCCTAACTTTTCCCATCATTTAACCATGAACTACTTGGCTGCTTAATGAAAATATTATCCTTGAAAGGATTATATTTAGATGTCTTTTTTATTGTAATGTAACAAAAAGAAAGTACTTACAATGACCTCCAAGGAGATCTCAGCCTATTCAAATGCTAATTATGAATTCCTTCTACCATTTAGAGTTATCAGATCTTCAGGTCTGTCTCTATCTCTGTCTCTGTCCCTTTCCTTTTAAAATAATCATGAATATATGCAGCGCAATGTTTAACTATTGGGTCCTTGGTTGGTTCTTTTTCTGCAGATGGTTTATTCCTCTTTCCCTTTATGACAAGGTTGATCTGCAAGAATCAGAAGAAAGCTTTTGACAGCATGAAAGCCTATTGCAGATTCCAGTTGGTCCTTTAGTTATACTCTGTTAGTATAACCAGAATAACTCCTTTAGTTATATACTGGTTATATTCAGGGGTATCCATAGGGAGGGAAGTCAAAAAGTCGAGATGAAAGCTGCAGCCATGCCATAAATGTCCTGCTCTTTTAATGCACATATGCTTAAAAGGGGTCGGAGCTTCAATTGCATGATCAGAGCCACTATCCTGATGACTCCACTGCAAATGTCCTAGGTAAATTGGTCAAGGCTGACCAAAAAACACTAGGAATTTTACTTCTTTTATCTCTCTTCTGTTTTCTTTTTAAGTATTCCTTTTCTCTCAAGCAACACCCCAAAAGGATTAAGTATCTCTGCTAGAAGCCTGAAAGGGCCACATGCTAATGGCTACTGAAATTAAGCCAAAGGTCACATGTAGCCTTAGGGAATAGGAGCAGAGTCTGGTGAAAAAAAGTTGGCAGAGCTGATACAATTGTACCTTGAAAAGTCCTTGAGCAATAAACAATAGGCACTGAAGTTCCCAAGTCTCATCTCTGCTTCTTTGTTTGCACAGGTAGAGAGAAGGTTTCAAAGAGATCAGCCTTCGCTTATGTCAAAGAATTTGGTGGCATCACGCAGGACTCAGTCATTTTGTACTCCAAGAGAATAAAGTGATTAATTCAGTAGGCAGGACAGCTTTTGTTTCCATTTGCATCAAGCATCAACAAATGTTTCTTTAGTTTTGATTTTTGTCCACAGATGGTGGTGATGGGTGTTTAAATCTCCTATGGAGGCATCATTTGCTTCGATGCATCTTTTGGCTCAGTTCACAATTCACAAAATCATCCCAACTCTGCTAGGATCTCCCCATTTGATATCCAAGGATATGATGGAAGAATGCTGAAGATTTCCTATCAGTTCCCCTCCTTACTACAGGCGATGCTGTCCCCAAAATTAAAAAGACTTTTCCTGTGGCAGAGGAAACATTAGACTTGTGGAAGGAAGTCACCATTCAGTTGTCCTATGCAGATATGGAAACTGAGAAAATGGAAAAGGTTTTCTTTGAAATCAGAGACTTGGTATTATTTCTGATTCTTGTTTTGTTTCATACCCTGAGATTATTTAGTGGGTTTCAGTGCCTGCAAACAATAGCAAACAGATATTGAAATCAAATGACTGAAAGCAAAGCATTATTATACATTGATTCAAGTCATCAGTCCTAAAGGTGGAAAACAAACCAGAGCGGACTAGGGAAGGAAGCAATAAACAGGTAGGACTCCTGCAGGAGTCCTGCAGATTTTACTCCGCTAGTCATTGCCAACTATAGGGGGAGGTGCTCGATTCTGTTTCAAGGTCATTGTGCCAGTAAGTGAGCAAGAATACTCTGACCCTAACCCTATTTATCTACTTGTATTGGCATGCATTTAAACTGCTAGGTTGGCAGGAGCTGGCCAAGGATGAGATCTCACCTCATCACATGGCACTTCGATCTCAAACCTGGGCTGCCAGCTTTCCAGCCAATAAGCCCAGCATCTTAACCCCCGAACCACTGTGCCACAATAGATAGGTAAAGAAGACAAATTTTCCCTATCCAAAATAAGGTTTGCTTTTGTTCTTTTGATTTTTTTTCTGAAAAAATATACTGTATGTTTATTGATTAGGATAGCTTCAGACTGACCAAGTTGATGACCATGCTTTGGGGAAGGGGAATCACTGGGAGAAGTTATGCCCAATATGCACCCATCCATCCAAGTCTCCAGGGTGCTTTATTTTAGGAATTAACAGCCAAACAAAGAACTAGTATACCTAGTTCCATTTGTCCACAGATAACTTCTTCATCCCACAAAGGCTCTAAACTAAATTATTTGACTTTGGAAATGTTAGCTTAGATGGCACAATTTCTTTATACCATTCTTGTCAATAATCCATGTATCAAAGATCATATGTTGCTATAATGGCACTTTTCTACCCAAATGTAATCTTGTCACATAAGAACAAAGTATAGCCTCTCGATCTTTCTACCTCCACCGGTTAAAAAGTCATAACTCTTTTAACATCTTTATCATTTTTGTATTTTCATAGAATACTTGCTTCTCACCTGGGGTGGAGGTGGGGGAGGAGCTGGTTTACGCTCAAGTTGAGAAGAAGGAGCTGAATTTATTCTCTGTAAGAGAAATACCAGATTATTTATGTTAAATATTAACCAGCCATTTAGTATATGTTGAGTATATTATTGCTAAACTGACATTTGCAAATAACCAAGAGTCCTTGGTTGATTCAATAGTGTATAACTCTAACAAGTAAACAAAAAGAAATGTTGACATCAAATTACTCTTGCCTGCACCAGGTTTGTATAGAAACTTGAGGATTGTATTTGAAAATTTAACTAATAAAGAGTCATTTTGTGGGGTTGGATTTGTATAGAAACTTGAGGATTGTATTTGAAAATTGAACTAATAAAGAGTCATTTTGTGGGGTTGGATTTAGAATTTTATTTTATGGATAAAATAGAGAGCTTAAGTACCAATTTTGTTTCTTAATATTGCCCAGCTATCCTCCCCACCCCCAAACGAAAGAGGGCCAAGTATTTTGCTCCAGGACTTTCTGAATAGAATTTTGCAATTGCAACATTGATTCTGGAAGGACATTTTAAATCTCCAGTTAACCCTTGGTGCACTCCTGATCTAAAACTTGGGTTTGGTTGTACAAAAAAACCCAAAAACAACAGCATCAAGGAGTACAGATATATAACATTTCAAGAAATGAGCCAGCTTCTGCCTAATGCCCATGTTTCTAGCACCATTCTTGGATAATTTATTTGCAAGAAACTTTGTAATCCAAGAATATGTGTTTAAAGCAACTTAGCTGGTTACAAAGAGTGGAATTCACTGTTTGAAAGGCAATTATGATGAAGGGTTACAAATTTTGCACATATTGGATGGCTTCAGTTTTCTTATGAGAAGTTTATTTGAAAAAGGAACTTTCAAGGATAAAATCTAGAGAGTGTATATTTTTGGGGCCCTTTTTACATGAAGGAAGGGAGTATTTTCATAGTGGAACACGTTCCAACCTTTTTCCATTAAAACTAGAGTTTGGACAAAGCTTGCATGGGAATGCCATCACTCTGTTACTGTACAAAAGAGCAAGAGCAGAATTGGAGGGGGGAGTTAAATGCATTATCAGTTTAGAGTCTATGCATTGTCACAAGAGACCCAAGTTTAGACACCCTTCAATTTTATTGACCCTTATCTTGTGCCAATTTAGTGTTGACCATTAATTGACTAGATTCTTGTGTATAGGCTTGAATAAATCTTCTACGCTCCAAATTTATGAATGATCCTGTTTCTTTATGCCTGACATTAATCTCTTTTAACTGTGCCCCCCCTCACAAACTCTCTGCTCTTCTCCTACAGTTACTGTCATAGATTAATTGTCCTAGGGAGTTGCAGATTCAAGAATAAGGTCACAATGCAATTCAATATATTAGTGACAATTCAACCTGCCTTTACAAAAGCATCAGACCTAGACCTGATATACAACATTCCAAAGGCTTTATGCCTTTCTTGGCATTAGGAAGAAAGGACTGAATTACTACACAAGACCTGGAGGGTCAGGCCCATTAAAACAAAATCCCCACCAATAACCCACCAGTTGAAGTTTTTCTCCCATTACAGTTCTTTGCCTTATTTTTCATCCAGTAGTCTGGAAAAATGAAAAGGTGGCTAGAAGGAGTTATTATCCCAAAGCTTCACCCTAGCATCCTGCTATAAAGGAACAAAATGAGTTTGAAGTGTGATGTTTAGGAAGCTGACATACCAGAGCTGGATATATGGTGGACTTTGCTGTTGGAACAGGAGGCGGAGGGATTCTTGGTTTCACAATGGGCTGAAAGGAAAGAAAATTGGAAGGTTTTTTGAGTTGCCTTTGCACACAATTGCCAAGATGCATTTTAAAAAGTGCAACAACATCTATTGTTCAACATCTATTGGAGATCACATTTCCTGCCAGCTTAAAATTTGAGTCTTCTATCTGCAACAAAAATTAATCCTTATTCCCTTTCCCCACCAAATGTGCAATTGTATGAACTCAAAATTCTCAGCATTCTCACAAAGCAACAAATTTCCATGGTTCTTTGAGGAAAGCTCTAATAGAAAATTCTGAGTGCGACTTTGATTATCTGTGCTCCTGGCATCCTCCCAACAGGGTTGAATTATTGTCGTGCCTTCACATCTGGAATTTTTACTCCTGCCCTGCCAGACTAATTACCTCATTTTGCCTTGATTGGATTTATAGTTACAGTTTTTGTTGACCATATTTTGGACTTGACTCTCTGCAGCCAAAGGCTGTTCCTGGGAGAGTTCTTTTCCAGGCAGAAGGTAACTAGGAGATTGGGGGCAAAGTTAGAGCTAATAAAGGTTATCTGACTGTGTTGCCTTTGTGCCATGCCCCGGGTCATCACACCTAGTGCCAATTTAGTGCTGACTGTAAGTTGACTAGATTCTCGTGTATAGGCATGAGCAATAAATCAGCTTAATTGGAACTTAACCTATGGTCCTCTTTCTTTGCAGTGTGATAATGACTTAAGAAAACATCTTAGATAAGTTCCTCACTGTTTCACATGAAGATAAAATCAGGAAGGAGAAAACACACTCAGACACGCTCACATTCTATTGCAATAAAGATAGCCTTAACTTACAATATATGTCATTGGTTTCTAATTTGTTGGGCTGTCAAGTCTTTCAGACTGATTTTCTATATATCACTCAATCTTTGCAACACTCTTCATGGTGTTTTTAAAGTATGGTGCTCAAAACTGGACCTAATATGTTCAGCAAACAAGATTTAACCAGCCAGAATTCAATGGAACCATTTCACCTGGGCACGATGCTTCCATTAATACAGCCCAGGAATGCCTTAAACTATTTTAGCCCCTGGACTGTCCTATTCTGTTTATCCTTGGCAGTGTTGTTACAACAAAAACTGGTCAAGAGATGTGTATTACTTGCCATGAAATCACCTAAATGCCCTCTGGCTACATATATCCCTTTGGGTATTGATATACTTCACTCATAATGATTGACTTGTCATTGGTTATTTTCTTGAAATTTGCCTAATTCAGAACAGAATTAGATTATTGGATAATTGACATAATTCAACAATTTGCCTCTCCAATTGATTTGTTACCAGTTTATGAAAAGACCTCTGTTGGAAATGCACTGCAGAAAATACTACATTAATGGACAGTTTGGGAAATTTAAGCATAATACTCCATATCAGTGTTTATAGATGAAGAACAGTTGATTCCTTGTCTTCAAAAATACTCATCCCATAAGATTTTCACTTTTCTATAGGCTACACAGAATGAGGCATGACACTCCAAAAAGAGGGGAAAATTGTCAGGGAACTAGTAGAATCAGAGGAAATATCTAACAGTATTCTGAAGTTGTTAGATCAAATGACCATTTATTTAGAAACTTACCATTCTGGCATTTTCATATGCGTGTCGTAAAGGTTCATCTGGGATTTTCTGTTAATAATGAAATAGTATCAATTTAATCAGTTGATTTTTCTAACAATGTGTGTGAACTCCCTAATTTTGTAGAACTCCCTTATGATAGAATCATGATGTTCGTATAACATTGCAAATTATGCAGGTTATCCCTACTCTCTACAAGGATTTAGAGTGCAGAAAGGAAATAATAATTAAAATAATCAGAAACTGCTTATTATGTTTCAGACTATAATATGGATTTTTCAACTGTCAGGTTAAAAAGTGTGCAGATTATTTGTTTTCATTTGCAACATTCTAGATCTTAAAATTGCTAAATTTGAAAAAAAAATCTTATATGCAAATCAATTTTTCTAAAGTACAAGTACATTCTCTCTATATCTGCTCATAAAGAAGTACATTGAGTACAATGGGTATTGCAGCCGAACGAACATTAATAAATTAGGGAGAATTTTTACACATTTATTTAAAATCCTTCACATTTGTCAAGTAACTATATTCATATATTACAATAAGCTATCTTGTTCTAATCATAAAATATTGTATGAGCCACAATATTTAGTTTACATTAAACCATAAACCATGATTGATAAACTACAATATTCTGATTCATACAACATGCTAACCTGAAATAAGTCAACTTACTTGACTCAATGTAGCATGTACTAAAAAGCACAGCATATTGATTTGATTTGTGAAATATCTGTATTTTGTTTGTTAAAGAGTATGCAAGAATTGTTCCATTGAATTTTACTCACAACATGAACTTCTGGTGTATTTCCTTGGAGTGAAATTGGCAGGAGAAATCTAGAAGAATTTATCTAAAAGGAAGAAACAGCCAGACTTTTTGAGTATATTGGTTTTAAAGCCAATATCTTTAAATACTTAGCCAGATCAGGTGCACTTCCATACATATGTAATTTCATTAAGGTTAACCTTAATTATTTTGTGTTGCTTTCTTTACAAAAACATTCTATTGAACTTATTGTGCAAACAATAGGTTCAGTATTTAAAGCAATTGTGTTATTTTTGTTTTTGAAAACAAGAAAGAGTTGTGTTGCATCTTGAAAGATAACAGATTGATTGACGTTATCTTACAATCAAAGCAATAAAAGCAATAACATGTTTCTCTATATATATAACGAATAAAAAGGCAAGCATTTTGTCTGTGTGTTGATGAAAAGCACCCACATTTAGCAGTTTCAAAATCTTGTTTCTTTCTCTAGACATTGTGCATGGGGTAAAGAGCCTCTAAATTCACCCAGGTACCCCAATTCCTTAAATTGCTGCTGGGGAACCATTCTTCTTATGACCTATTATGAAGCCAATGGATAAAGTATTTTATAAAATTTAAGTGTTCTACTCTGCCCAGGCAGCCCATTTCACCTCTCACCTCTGGATCATTGAACACTGGACCAAGATGCTGTTTCCTCTTTTGATCTGTACCAGAGAAAGGATTTTTGGCTACAGGTGCACTTTTGTGAATGCTGCCATAAAATAATAGAATATTATAGTTAGGATAGGATTCTGAACCCAACACCAAAGTCAAGGTAACACTAGAAATACAGTAAATGTCTCCCTCCCTTCCTTCCTTCCTTCCTTCCTTCCTTCCTTCCTTCCTTCCTTCCTTCCTTCCTCCCTCCTCCCTCCCTCCCTCCCTCCCTCCCCCATTCCTTCCTTCCTCCCTCTCTCCCTTTCTTTCCTTCCTTCTTTAATTCCTTCCTCATTCCCTTCCTCCTCCACTCCTCCCTCCCTCCGTTTCTTTCCTTCCTTCTTTAATTCCTTCCTCCTTCCTTTCCTCCTCCACTCCTCCCTCCCTCCCTCTCCTTCCTTCCTTCCTTCCTTCCTTTCTTCCTTCCTGTTAAGATAACTAGTTACCTGATATCCTAGAACTTATTTTATACATACACTATAATTCAGTTCATACTATAATTCAGTCAACATCTCATAACTTCATGAGAGATTTGCTGAACTGAATATCCAGTTTTATACAGCTTTTTCCAAGTCAGTATACATTCAGCCTCTCCATTAATTCAGGAAAACCCACTACTGCTGTTTTATGGGACTCAGCAAACTCCCCACACTTAAAAGAAGCTTGGCTGAGGACATTCAAAAGCTTCACCTGTCCCCTTGTTTCTTCTTTAAAATGTAGCAGCGGAAGAGAACTGCAAGGAGGATGGCTGTGGCTACTGAGACTAGTACCACAGTTACAACAATGATGATTATATCTAAAAGATAAAGAGAAAAGGCTATGAATAGATTTGACTAAATCACAGTGGAAACATAGAGACAATCCATTGAAAATTATATTGCTCCAAGCCCTGGCATTTCTCACCCATGCAATAAGAGTTTTTCCTAAGAGCCACTGTTGAGAACTGTCTAGAATGTATTTATTTATTCAATTATTTTAATTTTAGTGCTACCCAACTCTGAACCAACTCTGGGCATCAAATTTAGCCCAAGAAAACAAGTAATATGCAATAAACCTCATTTCATGAATGACTTCAACTAATCATCATCCTTTAAAATTAATCTAACTCAACTCCATGACCTTTAGATACATTGGGATTACAGTTTCCTTATTGATTAATAATTCTGGTTCAAAGAAGATCTAACTGACCTCCCAAGATAGTCTTGTAAATGGATGTAGCAGCATAATTAAGAAAGTAAACTATCATCTGTTAAATCTATACCTGGATTTTCACTATTAGGTAGCTTAAAATTAATCACAATCTTGCTATCCTTGTTGAATGAATTACAGAAAGGCTTAAACTTATTTTTCCCTTCTTTTCATTTCATGTGCACAATGAGATTAAAAATAGAACTTCCAATTAAAGTATAGTTTGCTAATAGTTAACAATATTCAGTTGCTAGATAATAATACAAGGAGATATCAAACCCTATTTCCAATAAGGATTGTTTAATTTGTCTAAAAGTCAAATAAATCCCCATTTCCATGCAATAATTTAGTCCAAAATTCATGTGGATGTTTTCTAATATATGAACTGAGGCTAAACCATTTTAGAGATAATTCTTTATTACTTACAATATGGAACTAATGAAAATTACTTAAGTGATAACTTTCGAAAATCAGAAAAAGGAATACAAGGGTATTGCTTTGGGTAAAGAAATGACAAATACAATTATTTTTATAATAAAATGGAATAACTCATAGAGTAACTGATTTATCATTTATGGAAAGGTCATAATGGCATTTAACAGATTTAACAGATTAACAGAGTTGGAAGGGACCTTGCAGGTCACCTAGTCCAAACCCACCGCCCATGCAGGAGACCCTACACCATTTCTGATAGATGGCCGTCCAGTCTCTTCTTGAAAGCCTCCAGTGATGAAGGTCCCACAACTTCTGAAGGCAAGCTGTTCCATTGGTTGATTATTTTTACTGTATAAAATTCCTCTTTATTTTAGGTTGAATCTCTCCTTGGTCAGTTTCCATCCATTATTCCTTGTCTGGCCTTAAGGTGCTTTGAAAAACAGATTGACCCCCTCCTCTTTGTGGCAGCCCCTCAAATATTGGAACACTGCTATCAGGTCTCCCCTGGTCCTTCTTTTCACTAGACTAGCCATGCCCAGTTCCTGTACCCATTCTTCACATGTTTTAATCTCCAGTCCCCTAACCATCTTTGTTGCTCTTTTCTGCACTCTTTCTAGAGTCTCAACATCCTTTTTTACAGTGTGATGACCAAAACTGGAAGAATTATTTTAGGTGTGGTCTTACTAAGGCATATCACTAATCTTCATAAAAATAATAAATAGATCCTTAAAATGTAACGATCAGATGGATTTTCTTCCTATATATTTTATCCACAATAAAAGATGTTCAGGAGATGAGAGAAAAGGGATATCCATTAGAGCAGAGGTACCCAACTTCCAGTCTGCAGACTAGTACTGGTCCGTGGCTCATTGGGAATTAGACCACACAAGTGGTGGGTAAACACACAAAGCTGCACAAGCAGCGGGTCCTTCCGCAAAACCATCCCCTTCCCCTCCCCCATTCTGTTGCCACTGCTGCCAGTCCACAGAGCCAGGAAAGTTGAGGATTGCTACATTGAGGGATGCCCACAGGTGGTAGTGAAAAATATAAATTGGTGGTTATGATGGTAAGATTGAAGCTCCGCCCACTTGTATCGATGTTATGGTGCCCATGAAAGGAGGCCAAGCTTCAATTACACTCCTGCAGGTACTAATATGCCTGTTTTTAAAAACATATCCTACCTCTGACCTATTTATTGGTACCAGCTAAAAAGAGTTCCATCCATCGTTTCCTGTTTTCTGATGAAGATGTCATACTGTGGTGCATTTGCTATAAAATATACTGAGAAAAGAAAGACCTCCCAAACGTCCAGTATTAGCATTTGCAGGTGGAGTAGCAAATGTCATTAGGGCAATCCACTCACCCCAGGGATTATGTCTCCAGAACCTATCTAATCACTTTCTGCGGGGAAGCTGTGGGAGACAAGTGGCCCCCTGAATTAACTCACATTTATTTCCTGAGGTGTCACAGTGAGGCGGTGTTGATCCTTCTTTACATTGGCACTGCAGTTCATGGTCACATACCTAGGATAGCAAAGACCAGTATTAATCTTTGAAACAAATACAAGGGCCAAAAAAGCAGTCAACATTTCTCTTGCATTTTTATGAAGCCCAAAGAAGGCAGAAAGTACTGAACCATAAAACTGAACCATAAAATTGAACCAAATTAGGCAGACAAAAAGATGGAAATCCATTTAAATCCCACACAGAAAAATAAATTAAGGGTTTCTACCAAAGCTGTTATGATTGTTTAAATAAGTACCAAAAGCCATTTAAATAGCTGGTCACTATTTTTTAATCTACTGGTCCACTGAGTTATTAGACTAAGTCTAACAACAGTACAGTGTGGACAAAGTGTTTCTTTTTTTGATATTATGAGAGTGTGGTCAAAGCATTTCTATAGCAGGATGAAAAGGACTAAATCAAGCTTTGAGATTTCTTGTGGTAGACAACGATATCAGGAAAATATTAATTTAGAGCAAATAGTTTTCAACCCTCCCTCTCCCTCTCTCTCTTTCTCCCTCCCTGCCTCCCTTCTTTCCATCCATCCATCCATCCATCAAGATCCATCCATCAAGTTTGTTTACTGCCCCATTCCAGTCAGACTCTATCAAAGTGCACCAAAATTAAAATAGCACACTGATGTTAATTCAAAAATGACAAGGTAGAACAACATAATTCAATACTAAATTTTAATTTTGGGATTGGTTGACTCCACCTTTAGTCCTCAAAAACTGGAAGTACCAGATCTTCATAACTTTTTATAGGCCATGGGAGAGGGGGCATTCTCATTTGATTTATTAGTATTTGACTATTCTAACATGACACCAGGTTTTGATCTAATTCCATTGCTACCTGTTAATTTTAAAGCTCAATTTAATGTAATTTAGACTTTAAAGCCATAAACTATTCTGGGCTTGGTAAATACAGAGGTTCATGTCTTTCTAAGTTCTACTCACACTTAGAAAAAAGAACTTGAAATATTTTTAACATCAAGGATTCTGGAAAGCACTTTTTGGGGGGTAGGTGGTTGGTGTTTATTTGTTTAATAACATAGAACAAAGAAAAAAGAAAATAATAAAAGGGAAATTATGTAAATTATGCATGTATGAATACGCATAAAGTTTTACCTAACCGTCAACTTGCTCTCTGCCCAACAAAACCATTTTTCATTTAGTTCCATTTCTGCCTTCAATGAAAAGTTATTTTCATGATGGATTTTACTTTCAAAGTTACTATATAGATGTTAGTTGTAAAATTATAATCATAATAATACTCATTTTCATTTTTTAGTGCAGCAAAACCTATTTAGATATAGATGTCAATATCACCATAAGAACATTTACAAACACACTCTAATGAATATTTTGCAGATGCTTCAGACTTGCAGAGAATACTGTGGGGGGAAATCTGAAATCCCCAAGTATATGTGCTGAACACATTCCAGATAGTTCTCAACTTATGTCCACAATTCAGCCCAGCATTTCTGTTGTTAAGTGAAATGTTTGTTAAGTAAGTTTTGCCCCATTTCACAACTTTTCTTACCACTGTTGTTAAGTGAATCACTGAAAGCGTTAAGTTAGTAACACGGTTGTTAAGTGAATTGGCTTCCCCACTGACTTTGTCAGAAGGGTGAAGAAGTTAGTCACATGACCCCAGGACATTGCAATGGTCATAAATATGAACCAATTGCCAAGCATCTGAATTTTAATCACATGACCACAGGGATGGTGTAACAGTCGTAAGTGTGAACAACAGTCATAAGTTACTTTTTTAAAACCCGTTGTAGTTTTGAACGGTCACTAAATGAACTGTTGTAAATTGAGGATTACCTGTAAGCTTTATATAGGCCAAGCCCGAAGCAGAACAGTCTTAAAGCCCATTGAAGGGCATAGAGAATACTTTAACCAGAATATAGAATACAAAATGCTTACAGAGTATCCGATGCATTTGTGTGAACAGTTGGTCGATCTGTAGGCAGCTTCTATCTCAACACACTGCCCGTTGTTGCAGACCTAAAAGCCAAAGGAAGAGATTATGAATAGAAGAAGACAACAGTTTCCCACACAACTAAACTCTGTTATTCTCTAGAACAAAACCAGGATATTCAATAAATTTCTTCCAAGTTCTATATTGTGTATAAAGACAGGGATGTGTGTGTGTGTGTGTGTGTGTGTGTGTGTGCGTGCAATTCCTGATCCTTTAAGATAAGCTTTAAGATTGCTTCAGCACTTCTAAATGGCTTCACTGAATTGATATCCTTTAGGTCACAGCCAGTTCTACATCTGATTTTTTTTCAACTCTCTTCCACCTGCCCTACGGGGATACCTACAAGTTAAGAGAAAGGACTGTCCCTTGATGTTCTGTCCAGAAATTGATGCCAGGGAGAAGCACAAGGCTCTGAAAAGGCCGGGCATTTTGTTCTTAGAAGGAAGAAACACCCGGGACATTCACCTGAAAAACCTTGGTGGTGCAGTGATTAGAATGCAGTATTGCAAGCTAACTCCGCCTATAGCCTGGAATTAGATCCTGATGGGACTCAAGATTAACTCAATCTCGCATTCTTCCAAGGTCAGTAAAATGCAGAGCCAGATTGTTGGGGCCAATATGCTGACATTCTAAACTGCCCAGAAAGTGCTTAAAGCACTATGGGGCGATATATAAGTCTACGTGCTATTTCTCTTGCTGATTTGTTGTGGTTGTTGCCTGCAGGAAAAACAAAACAATATAAACAAGAAGAAGGCTAGATGGATTTTCTTCTACATAGATTAACTGTAGTATGCAAAATGTAAATCAGCTTTCACCAAGATCGATCGCTAAATTATTTCGCTGATTACCCCTTACAGCATACAGTTGAGATGTAATCTTTTACTAACCATTCCTTCTCCGCATTTTGTTCCAGGATGAACCAATCCAACATCTTCTGCATCTTTGGATGGAAAACTGGCTCTACATGATAGAAATTCCAGCAGGTTTCCATCTGAGGGCATCTTTGAACCACCTGTGCAATATAGCCTGCCACATTTTACCGCACTGAAAAGAAAATAAACAATTCGTTTTAAAGAAAAAGAAAGGATTAATGTCCCTTTGCTCATTTGCAAACATAAAATGTTCTTGGATTAACGTGATTTTAAAGTAGAGCTGGACAGTCAGAGGTTTGCTCAGCCTCAAAATGAACTTGATTGCATTTAAAAGATAAGTAAAAAAAAAATCTCAAGAAGTGTTTCTAGGTTTGTTTATTTGGAGGGAGGATAGAGAAACACAGTTTTTGTATCTCTAATGGTTTCCCTGTTTTTGAGGGAGAAGGTAGTTTGAGTCACAATTCTTATCTTTAGAGCAGATAATGTACAGTACCTGTTATCCACCTGGAAAACTCCTAAAGCAGGCTTGATTTTTCCAGACCTCTAGCCTTAAAATAATCTCTGATTAGTGGATGACAGAAGATGATGTGAGTTGAAATCTAAAGGTTGGGGCAGCGGCATTAAATATCAGAGGGAGAAATTGCCCTGAAAAATGGCCATGATTCCATTTCCATTTAAGAAAAATAAGAAAAGGGGAAATTAAAGATTGAAATAAGGACTGCCCTTATTTTAGTAGGAAAAAAATGGTATGGGGTCTAAACTGTCTAAAAAGCAGAATCTCACATCACTAAAAGATATTGTGGCTTATTGTTTGTTTTGGGTTCAAACTGTGGTGCAAATCTAGCCATTGTGGGTTTTTAAATTGTGTTTATATACTAAGTGCAATTCAGAAACTCAGCCAACCAGGGCTTATTCAAAAACATTGCAAACAATCTACTGCTGGGTGGTGTCAGCCGGAGAGAAAGGCTGATTGTGCAGTAGTCCTTGACGTAGCACCACAACTGGGTCCAGAATTTCCATTGCTAAACAAAGCAGCTCTTAAGTGAGTTGCACCCAATTTTATGAATCTCTCTGCCATGGTTGCTAAATGAATTCACCATTGTTAAATAAATCCAATTTCCTCCATTGACTTTGATTGTTGGAAGATGGCTGAGAAGATGGAAAATGGTGGTTATGTGATCCTGGGACACTGCAACCATGGAAAATACATGCTGATTACCAAACACCAGAATTTTGACCACATGACTATAGGGATGTTAGAAGCAGGGGAGGGATTCTACCGGTTCGGACCAGTTCGGGTGAACTGGGTGTTAAATTTGTATCTGGTTTGCTGAACCAGTTTATGAACTGACCAGCTGGCCCTGCCCCACCTCTCGTCCCCGGAGTCTCCATGTGGCCCATTTTCAATGCAGGTAAGTCCAGGGTCCGTGTGGAGCCTCTGGAGGGAGAAAAATGGGCCTTCCGGAAGTACCAAAATTCATGAAATATACCTGTTTCCAGCTTCCAAAGGGTCTCCATATCCCAAGGGAGGCTGTTTTCACCCTTCCAGAGGCCAGAGGGAAGCTTCCAGACCCTCGGGGAGGCAAAAAAAATGGCTCTCCCAGAAGTACTGGAAGTCATGAAATGAGCCTGTTTCCGGCTTCCGAAGGGCCTCCAGAGCCTGTGGGAGGCCGTTTTCATCCTCCCAGAGGCCTGAGGGAGGCCTCCAGTCCCTTGGGAAGGTAAAAAACAGCCCTACCAGAAGTACTGGTAGGCCATGTTCACCACGGCTATGCCTACCCAACAACTGGACAGCACCCAGTTGGTTAGAACCCACTGTAAGTCACTTTCAGTGTTGTAACTGTGAATGGTTGCTGAATTGAAAACAAAAAACACTGTTTTTAAAATACAAATCGATTTGACGGTGCTTATGTACTAAACGTTGTTCTAATACATATTTCACATTCCTGGTTATTTCTCATATTTTAACCTCTTTAAACTATTTCTTCCTTATTTATTTTCTTGCTGATTTCTATCATTTATCCATTTCTACCAGTTTTCCCAGACTGTATAATACCTTTTTTTAAATACCTTCCTTTTTTTTAAATTTTAGAGTAAGTTTATCCATTTCAGCACAATCGTAGATTTTTTGGATTATTAAACTCTCTGTTGGCATGAGGTCTCCTTTCCAACACTGTGCGAGTGCTAGTCTCGCTGCAATGATTATATGCAAAATTAAATATTTTATCTCTTTTGTGTAGTCTCGTTTTATTATCCCCAGTAAAAAAAAAAAATCTGTTTTAAGTTCTATTTGAAAGGTGGTAATTTCTTTTATCCATGTTTGTATTTTTATCCAATATTTCTTAATTTTGTGGCAGAGCCACCATACGTGGAAGAAGGTGCCCTGTGTCTGCTTGCATTTCCAGAAGATTGGGGTACATATTGGGGTACATATTGGCTAATCTCAAAGGGGCCAGATACCACTGATAACACATTTTATATTGATTCTCTTTATATACTGCCGATTTCATTATCATATAATTCTTTTCTCATATTCTTTCCCAATCCTCCAAATCAATGTTGTGTCCCACATTTCTTGCCCATGCTATCATCAAGCCCTTTCCTAATTCCTCTGCCATCTCAAACTCTAATAAGTAATTATACATTTTTGAAATTGATTTTGTATCCTCTAATAATTTATCAAATTGATTTGGCTAAAGGGTACTTTAAAAGCTCTCATGGCCTCTTTTTATATCCCGCTTTTGCTCCATCTTGTAACTCAAAAAAAAAAAAAAAATTAGCCATTCAGAAATTGACTCACATTTCTGTTGATTTTAGTGAGGAGATAGAAAGTATTTCTTACATTACCCTTACATGATATATCATCATCTTAGTAAATGAGGACCTAGATTGTTGGGGGCAATATGCTGCCTCTGTCAATCGCTTAGAGAGGGCTGTGAAGCACTGTGAAGCGGTATATAAGTCTAAGTGCTAGTGCTAGAGTAGGAAATAATTTAGACCGCTTACTTTGGTTTACATGAAATGCTTATACCATTTGCATTTTTGCAGTGGCCGTAATAATTCCCTTGCTGGTTTTTCTTAAAACATGAATCTGCAGCCACTTTCCCACCTGTAAGAGAGAGTGAGGAAGAAACATAAATACTTGAGTGGGTAACATGGGAGGATGAAGAATGGCTTAAGCCATCTCAGAGGAGTTCCAAATAATTTAGCTAATGTCCACTTCTTTGTAACTGATTATTTTGTAACCCATTACTTATCTCATCCTCATTATGAAGCATTCACTACCTCATACAGTGTTTCAATAAACTTGCTTATTCCATTTTATAAACACAACTCTTATCCAACTTGCAGAAGACTAGCTGGTAAATCAATGTCGAGAAATCTGAATCCAGATTCCTTCCACTATATCCCCCCCCCTTTTTTTAACTTCATCACACTCATAGATATATTTCTGTGCTGGAATGTAGTGAAGAGATGGAATCCCAGGAGGCAAGGGGGGTGGGGTGGGATGAGTTCCAGAGAAGTAAGAGGGAGGTAGGCAACTCTGCCTGGATATCATGTGTGAGAGAAAGATGGTGGAGACACCTCCTCCCAAAGAGTATATTGTAGATTGAGTTAGCGAAGACCTTAGTCTGACAGGATTTTGTCCATAATATGAAACACTAAAGAACTCAGCTTATAAGAATCATCATGTATCATTCTTAGTTTGACACGTGTCAATCCCTGGGCATAAGCCTTTTTGAATATAGCTAGATTACTTGCAAAACAATGAAATATTACCATTCTTTGGAACATTACATAATTTCATGCGATTTACTGACCAAAATAAAGATTTCTTTGTTTGAACTGAATGTTTCCATTTTGAAAGCAATGGAAATAAAAGAGTAAGGTTCCATTTATGGTCTAAATAAATGGACTGCACTGGTAAGACCACACTTGGAATACTAGATCCAGTTTTCATCAACGTGATAGAAAAAAAAGTTGTTGAAACCATAGAAAAAAGTGCAGAGAAGATCAGCAAAAATGATAAGAGGTCTGGAGGCTTAATTATACAATGAAGGGCGGTGGGAACTAGATATGAAGAATTAGGGGTGACATGATAGCAATCTTCCAATATTTGAGGGGCTGTCATAGACAAGATACCTGTGGGCAAGACAAGAAGTAATGGATGGAACCTTATCAAGAGATCCAACCTAGCATTAAGGAGAAATTTCCTGACAGTGGGAAGAATTAACCCCTGGAATAGCCTCCCTCCAAAAGTTTGTAGGTGCTCAATCACTGGAGGTTTTCAAGATGAGATCAGACAACTCTTTGTCCAGAATGATATAGGGTCTTCAAGTTGATCAGAGGGTTGGACTAGAAGACCTCCAAGGTCTCTTCCAATTCTGTTCTATGTTCTACAAGAGAGTGACAAGAACCACATCCCTCAACACCTGTTTCTTTTATTATTATGCCAAAGGTAAAGAAAAGTTCAGTCACCAAGTATAAATATTCTTAGCAGACAGTCCCATTTTCAATTTCCATTGTCTCTAATTCAGAACAATGAAAAGGGATGGGTCAATCAGTGGCCCTAATTAAGTCTTTGAAGAACAAGCTAAATGGATAAAATTCTAAGCATATGACAGTTGGTGTTATTGTTTGTGCTTCTCCAGTCGTATTGGCTTGCTTCACAACACCCATTGATTTAAGACAAAGAGTATTGCAGAATAGTTTTGAGCTATTGCTACAATATACAAAAAATAACAATCTATTTATGGTGGGTGTGCATGTGCGTGTGTGTGTGCACGCGTGCACACACACACACACACAGATCTTTCTTTTCAGATTTTTGGTCTACAGTTGCTATCATCTTCAACCATTAGGCCAGGTTCTCAGGTGACATTTGGAGGTTTAAAGCAAAAGATCTGGAGGGTTGAGCATTAAAACCTCCAAAGAAAGAATTTCATCTTGAAAGATTATGAACAAAACACAAATAGAACAGAAATGAAAAGCTTTGTTATGTATAGTAAGGAGAAAATGTCTTTGATCAATACAAAGGATTGCCTTAGGATTTTTTGGTTGTTGTTGTTTTGCAATAGCCCTATTCTAAAATCCTAAGGTTGACTTACCTGGCCCCCAGAGAGCAATACATTGGTCTGCCAAGGTAGGACACTTCCCCATGTAGCAGTAACCTTCGTTGTTTTGGCATGGGTGTCCATTAATGTGGAAGCGATCCTTGGGACACTCAGCAGATTGGCCAGTGCATAGTTCAGGCAAGTCACAGTCATGCTTTACTACCCGGCATACTGATCCTGCTCTCATAAGCTGCGGGCAAGAATAAAAAATATTCCCAGCTATCAGTCTTTAGCAGCAGAGATCAAAGAGCTAAACCAACACATTTCAAAGCCTCCTCTTCATCTGTCTTGAGGGTTACCAATCAAGGCATCCCTGCTAGGTTACAAATGGCTTCCAGGTCTTAAGACATTGTGTGTAGAGCCTACAAGTCCCTGCCTAGAAGTCCCAGTTTCTCTTTAGAATTAGACTAGAATACCTTTATTGTCATTGCATCCCACAAATACAATGAAATTTGAAAGCTACTCCAGCACAGTGCCCCAAATACCACATCACAATCACACTACTGAATAATAATAATAATAATAATAATAATAATAATAATAATAATAATAATAATAATAATAATAATAGGACTAAATCACAAGTGCACTGTTTGATTCAAGACAATTACTGCCTTGGAAAAGAAACTGTTCTCAATCTATTAGTCCTCATTTTAAGACACTTAGAACGCCCTCCCTGATGGTAATAGATCGAAATATGAATGTCCGGGATGAGAACCATCTGTGGAGATTTTTGGTGTTCTAGAAAGGAGTCTGGTCTTCAAAATCTCTTCCAAAGAAGAAAGAGATCAACCGACGATTTTTTTGTGCTGTGTTTATAACTCTCTAGAGCATTGTCTTATCTTCTTATCTACTGCAGAGCATCCAGTACACCACACTGTTATACAGTATGCCAAAATGTTCTTGATGGTAGACCAGTAAAAAGTAACCAGCAACTTCTCACCCAAACCACTCTTATTTGCAATGAGAAAATAATTGCCATGAAAGCAGTGGTAGGATACATTTTTTTTTACTACCAGTTCTGTGGGCATGGCTTGGTGGGCGTGGCATTGCATGGCTTGGTGGGTGTGGCTTGGTGGGCGTGGCTTGGTGGGCGTGGCAGGAGAAGGATACTGTAAAATCTCCATTCTCTCCCCACCCCACTAACCTGCTTTCCAGCTCCATTCTCCTGTGGAAGGCAACAAAAGAAGACCCAGCCAACCAGCTGGGACTCAGGAGGCAGAGAATAGATTGGGGCAGGGCCATTCAGAAGTGGTATTTGTCGGTTCACCGAACTACTCAAAATTTCCACTACCGGTTCTCCAGAACTGGTCAGAACCTGCTGAATACCCACCTCTGCATGAAAGGCTCAGTTACCAAAATACAAGTTCTACATGTTGTCTGACCATGAAAGTCAATTTGGCTCTCTTTTAAAAGCAGCAAAAAGTTAATTGCTGAACATTTGCAT